TGGGACTGATATGAAGATGTGGTGCAGTAGGTTTGGTATAGTTTTTCTAACATTTGTGATTTTTGTGTATGATGGTGGGTGCATGTTCATGATTTATTGAGAATGCTACTGCCGCAAGATGGCATGTGAAACTCTCTTTGAGCACACTCTACCTTTGCGTCAACATTCTATTAGTATGGTTAATTACTGGCAAAATAGTCTCACATTGGTTGGGATGTTAATAATATTAGTGTTAACAAAATGATACATTGTGATATCTTTGACCTTGTGGTAATAAAATCTACAAATTGGTTACTAAAATTATTAAATGTGTGAAATATTTATTCACTAATTAATTTCATATTATTATTTAGACATTCCCCCAACTTTAAATAAAATTAACTTCTTACATATATTTATTATTATAGAATTTTTCCATTTTACTAAAATTGTTATCTAACTTTTTATTATTTAATTTATTTATTTATTTGAATCAAGAAGAAATATATTAATTCAAAAAAACAAGGGATGCAAGGTGATCATAAGATCCAACCAACCACAGACTAAGAACGACAAAAATCCACACTAAACCATCATTCTAGCTATGTAGACTCTCATCTTAACACTATGCCAACCCCTAAAAACAATGTTCTCCATAATGTTTTCTTCTATGTTTGTGTTATCTACACCCTGCCTAAAACTAAACTCATTTATGTACTTTCATATATTGTAAACAACTTCAACCACTTTCAACTTCAAAATTGCAGCTTTCTAACCTTTACCTTGAGTGTTTCTTATAGTCTAATTAAGTTACTCATCCCAGCCTTCCGGATCATACATTATATCTAACATATTGAGCACATTTCTCCATATAGGCTTAGAGATACTCAAAGAAAAGATGCTTAATGGATTTCTCCACATATTGTTCATGTAATTTATTTAATAAATAAATAAACTTTCAATGAATAAGTGATCTGAATGAATTTTTTATATATCTAAATCTACATATATCTTAAAATATAATAATATAATTGAATATGAAAAATCTAACACATAAAAATAATAACTTTACAAAAAAAATTAATTTTGAGAGCTCCGGCGATGTCGAGAGGATGGGGGCTTCCCAAGAAAACGACATAATCGTCTTCACTGAATTGTAAAATCATTATAGATGAATAAGACAATACCATGAGATCTGATTCGCCTAAGAAGATAACAAATGAACCTGAAGCAATTTATCATGTGGAAGTGGAATTCGAGCAACCAAACGTGGAAACCCTAAGCCCCAAAAAGATAGAGCAAATGTAGGAAAAACAGGTAGAGGGAAACAGGTTGTGGGTGGATGTGATTAAAGAAAATAGAAATCTAGCTAAAGGGATGGATGACAATAGAATATGTTCCTCCAACCTTGATAAATGGTGAAATTGAAATTGACACCAATCGATTGGTCCAAAGGAAAAATTGATTTTAACGAAACATAACCAATTTATTGTAGTAAAATATAAAACCATTGGTTTACATGAGAAATAGATAAAAAATTACTAAGGTAAAAAGAAACAAACTCAAGACTCAACCCATGACCCTTGAACATTTTTAATACAAGCCTTTTAATCACTAGAGTAAATCAATCATTCATTGAAAGTATGCACAAAATATTTGAAATGCCAAAATAGTTTTAAGATGAAAGAATTAAAAAAAAAAAAGCTTAGATGGTTGAATTTCAATAAAGATGTTAAACACTTTAAGATATTGAATTGCACCAACTTATATTCTGGAATAGGTTTCATATATCTAGTCTTAATGTCTCTTAACATGTGACGTAATCATCAATAGATTCAATATCTTTCCTTTGGATATTAGATACGTCTAAGAATGTGAATTTGCATATGTTTATGGTGATTTCCGTGGAGATTATCTGTTCAAAGCATCAAAGTTGAAGATTTTCACCCCTGTGGGGATGGAGATGGAGGGAAAAGTTCCCCCGATGACACTTTGGGTCAGAGATTTGGAAAGTATCCTTCGCCCCATGGATTCCCCGACTCAGACCATATTTTATAACTTTTATATTTTATATATTATATCATATATAATTATATAATTTTACATAAAAAAATAAATGTATTAGAAAATAAAGAGTCATTAGTGGATCATTTTATTTCTATGTTTTATTGTATATTGTATTCTTTCACTACCTAAGTACCCAACCCACAAAAAGTGCATCCAATACATATATTGTACACCGTCTCTTTTTCTTTTCCCAGTTATCTTTATCTCCACCATTCATCATCTCTTATGTTGTCATCATCATCACAATAACAACTCTCTTTTGTTTATTGTGCTTATGGTAATTACTCTTCAAATTCAATTTACTTTCATTAATAACATATTTTTCATTTAATTAATAAATTAGTAGTTATGAATTTTCCATACTCACACATAATTAACCACTTGCATTAGAAGACAACAATACTATGGTAGTAAATTAGAGGAAGTGTGGTAGCAATAAGTTCTGTTAATATTTATTATTTTTTTATAGAAAAAATATTAGCAACAATAAGTGTTTTTGTTTTTATTTTTGCAAGATGTATTTTCATTTCAAAAAAAGAAAGATGCAAAATATATTTGTTTTTTATAAAGAAAAAAAATAACGAGATAATAGTGTCATAGTTTTGATCGAAAAATATGAAATTTTCTTAAGATTCAATATCTGTGAATCTTCGTGGGAATCTGTGGGGATGGGGAAGGGGAAAATATTCCCCCGTAGCGGGGATTTGGGACGGGGACGGGGACATCCCTATATACGTCTATGGTATTAAATTTAGCATTCCATCTAAATAATTGATTCAGGATATTTAAGTCAAAATTTAAAAAATAAAACTCGCACCAATTAGTTTAGAAATTAGATAGTAGTCAAATTTTGACCATGCTCGCAATCTTATATGATAACATGAACTTAAAAACTAACTTGGAGTTTTAAGAAATTTCTTCCTTTATTTGAAAGTCTCAATGCTTCAATGGAGTAATATATCCTAACATTTTTTTGCTTTGTGCGATACATAGAATATATAAAAAATAAAGGATAGTGTATTTTGTAACACTCCAATTTCCCCTGGTAATTAATTAAATGAATCAGAGATAAATTAAAACAATTTATTCAATTAGGATGTCACCTTCATCCATCTTAAATGCTTATTAAATAAGACACGCAAAACAAATTCACATATTCATTAGTCTTAAACTTCACTACATTTATTCGCAGCGGAAAACATCAATAAGAATTATATTCAACTCTTTAATATGAGTGATAAACATCATCCTTCAAAAATTCAACATAAAAAAACACTACTTAAATCCAACAAATGGAGTTCCACAAGAGTCTACTTCCAACATAAACAAAATAAGCGCAATTTTCCAAGTGTTACGTATCAGAGCTGACACCCACTCAATCTACACAAAATAAGGAAACTCCTCAGCTGACCTCAACCTCGAGCTACTTCGGATCATCTGCATGTTACCAATATAAAGGCAACATTCAAACAGAAGGAGTGAGATATCGTAACAATATAAAAGAAAGCATAATAATGAGTAGATAACAATTCAAGTACATATAATCATACTTTTTCACCTCACACCTTTACTTCATTCATCGTAACCACAAGGTGCATCAACATATAATTAAATATACAACAAACGCATAATAACCATCCTAATGTAACTCATACTTCTTCCACATCAATGTATGTGGTACCAAAAAACAGAGCATAAGCCCTCATCATAATACCCAATAGGGCAGCAACATGGCATAAGTCCTTACCATCTCACAATTACAGGCCACCAATAAGGCATAAGTCCTCACCAAATATGCATGCCACACCCACATGCAACAATATAATTATGTAATAATGAGCATAAGCCCTCGGCACTACGCCATTCCAGGCCATCAAACATTCATTTTGCTAACACACAACTTTTGCTAACAATCATTTACATACTAACACACAACTTTTTCTATTGCGATATTACCCAAAAATGCACACAGATAAGTGTCAGTTGCTGTAAAATAATTATTTACTGTACTTCAATTTATTTTTATGAAATAGAAAATAATTTTAGCTTCTCGTCAGTCAAAACGACACGTCAAACGAACACCCGAGTCAAAATTTATAATTTTTTTTAAAATTTCACAAATTTTCAACATTTCGCTCTGGAAATCGATTACCCTAAAATGGGAATTGATTTCAACCACATACAACAAAAATTATTTTTCAACAATTAACTCATGAAATCGATTGCTCTGAATGGTAAATCGATTTCCATCAGTAAAATATCAATTTTTTTGTTTCGGAAAATCAATTACCCAAAAATGAAAATCGATTTCCACATTATGACAGTGAAAAATTATGCTTTTTTTCATTGTTACGGGAATCATTATTTTCAACCCCAAATTTTAAATCAAACAATGTGATTTGAACCCATAAAATACACATACATGATCCTCTAACATGATTCACAACAACAATTTTACCAAATTCATCAAAAAAATGCATTACAATTAGAAGTGTCGGCAGGAATTCAATATGTTAAGCATAGCCGTTTGAAACCAAAAAAAACTTAAATAGTCATTAAACGCATTTTATAAAACTCGAGTTCCAACTAATGCTGATTTAAGTAAAACATTTCTCTAAAACAGGAAAATGCAAAGTGAAACGCAATAAAGTATCCATTTCTATAAATAAAAGATATTGCATATAACCTCATCCATGGTGAATTACTGTGAATACATCAACTATTTGGCTTGGATATTTAAAATGGCAAACTCAATATATCTATAATAAAAATAAAGGAAAATTACAACTTGTCCATTCCAATTACCGATTTAAGGAAAATTCAAAAAAGAAAATCTATTGACTATTGGCAAATAAAGGGCCACGTCATTATCAATTAAAATTGGACACGTGCACATTTGATTAGTATAAAAGCAAGTAGTGACTCTTGTGTTTTATGCACCAAACACACTTAACATGGCTTCCAAAACCTTCCTAGTATTACTCATTCTTGCTCTTGTCATTCCCCAAGGATTTGCCTACTATAAGAAACCTCCCATTTCTCAACCACCGGTGGCAACACCTCCCATAGAAAAACCAACTGTTGAAAGCCCTCCTGTCTACAAACAGAAACCTCCGATTTATAAGCCACCGGTAGGGCCTCAACCACCAGCTTACACGCCTCCATTCTAAAATGAGTACCCTATGATGGTGTACTTGTGCGTAGAAAATGCTAAATAAGAAATATATGTGTTTACAATCTTATTGCAAAAATGCTATTAATGTATGTGTTTTTGTTATTTATATTATAAATAAAGCATTGTGATTTAAATGGTGTTTTATTTTGTCTGTACTGATAAAACTCGTATGGTTATCATACAAATCGAACATTACTTTATGAAATAAAGTATGAACATGAGTTTATTAATAAAATAAATTCTTGATTCTTACAAGTCAATTTTATAAGAGTTTGATTATAGATCCGATTCAAATTCTAAGAGGATTCATATCAAATAACATTGGCCTCGTTGATGACTAAAATGATCTAATTATGCAAAAAAAATAAACTTTTGTATTTCCTTTGTTAATTTATATACCTTAGGTTTTTATACAAATTTTAGTGATTTAATTATGACACATGAATGATTACTATTATTGCTAATAGTGTTATATAAAATGTAATGTATCTTTTTGAAAAAAAAGTATTTGTATGAATATGATAGCTCTACTGTTATGTCTTAACCGAATTAAATGAGTGAAAAGTGTTTATTTATGGTTTCCAACACAAAGTTATTAGAAGCATGCAGGTTCAAATTAGTGAAAGATAATTGTTGAAATATCTTACATGATCATACAACCTTTCAGCTCTATGGTTTTAGGTACAATGACTACAACAATGACTAAGACACAAACTTTATTTAACACAAGAATAATTTCATAAGGTCAATACATATTAACTTTTAGGGTTCAAGTTATAAATATTTATAAATAACTTTGTACATTTCACGCAAATTAAAATGTATAACTAATTTTTTTATAAAAATAAGAAATCATATATATTGTGACGTGCACAAATCGAGGGTGTTGATATAATATTTATTAATGTGCTACGCGGTAGTTATATTGAAATATTTATAAAAAATTTAAATAATAAATTGTCATAGAATAAACATTTATGTAAATAAGAATTATATTTTAGAAATTAAGTAGTTCCAAATTCTTCTAGTATTTTGTAATAATTTTTTTTATGTTTTTAAAAAAATGTAAAAGTTTTCGTCATAATATTATCTAAAATATTATTAAAATAAATTAGTTTTAATAATACCAGCATCATTTATAACAACTTCATCAACATCAAAGTTATGGCTTTTTCTAAGTAAATTTCAAATATTGAATATAAATTTGTAACATGTATTACAAAAGACAAACAATCTGAATTTTATTGTGGAGATTATTTATGATATGAATAAATATATAGTTATAAAACTAAAAATGTTGTCTAATAAAATATACTATATTTTTATATGTATTGAAGTCTGAAATATAATCCATTTTTAAATGTTTTATAGTTGGATTTAATATAAACTAAGAGTTGTTGTTGTCTATATACACAAATTTTTTAATCTAAAGATACGTTGTAAGATGAAAAACAATTCTACAATATTAAATTAATGTCAAAATTAATTTTATTTAGAGTAGGGGAAATATATAAATAATAATATGTAACTTAGTTAGTAAATAAAAAAAATTCCATGAATAAAGTACTTTAACTGCATTCTATTATTTAACGAATCTATGAATATATCCAATCAAAATAATAATCTCACTTGAATTTCATTCCTGATAGTAATTTTATATCGAGTTTATTTATTAAAAACAACAATTTATTAATGAATCTTTGTAAAATGAGTGCTACTAAACATTTATAAATATGTGTTTAAAAAATAAATACATTTTTTTTATTTATAAATGCATTTTGAACCATAAAGTGGAAACTGTAAAATAATTTACAATATGCTTTAAATTATCATTAAATTACACCATATAAATTATAGAATTTTTCTATTTTACTAAAATTTATTATCTAACTTTTTTTAATTAATTAATTTATTTTTTGAATCAAAGAAAAATATTATATTTATTTTTCAAAAAAACAAAGGATACAAGGTGATCATAAGATCCAACCAACCACAACACCAAGAGCAAAAAAAGTCCACACTAAACCATCATTCTAGCTGTATGCATTCTCATCTTAACATTATACCAATCCCTATAAACAATATTCTCTATTATCTTTTCTTCTATGTTTGTATTATCTACACGCTGCCCAAAACTCAACTCATTTATGTGCTTTCATATGTTGTAAAATGCTTCAACAACTTCCATCTTCAAAATTGCAGCTTTGACACCTTTACCTTTAGTGTTTCTTATAATCTAATTAACTTATTCATCCCAAGCTTTCAGAACATTCATTATATCTTTTCAGTTGAGGATATTTCTCCATATAACTTTATAGATACTCAAATAAAAGATGCTTGATAAATTTCTCTTCAGTCGCACACAAACTGCACTGAATATCTTGAAGTATGCCTAAATGATTTAATCTATCCTTTGTGGTTAATTTACCATGACAAGCTAGTCAAAGGCAGAAGCTAGGTCAAGGTAAATCTCGGTTACTTCTAAGCAAATTTCTCTAAACTTTTTTTCATTAAAAATATATAATAGTTAAATGTGTGAAACATAGTTCCCTTTTGAAAATTATTTTTAGAGAAGGATAATATTTATAAAATAATAATATGTAATTTATTTAATACATAAATAAACTTTTAATAAATAAGTAATTTGAACGCATTTTTTATATAACTAAATCTACATATATCTATAAAAAAATAATATAACTGAATATGAATAAATAACACATCAACATAATAACCTTATAAAAAATTTGAATTTTGAGAGCTCCGACAATGTCGAGAGGACGGGGCGCTCTAAGAAAACAATGCAATTGTCTTCACTAAATCGTACAATCATTAATGGAGACAAAGATAATAGATGAACCTTAAGCAATTTATCATGTCTAAGTGGAATCCGAGCAACCAACCATTGAAACCCTAAGCCCCAAAAGGATAGAGGAAGTGTAGGAAAAGCAAGTAGAGGGAAACTAGCTTTGGGTGGATGTGTGTTGTACCCAAATGTTTGCCCCTAAGATTTCTCTATCATCTCATATCAACTCACAACAAGATCACACTAGGATTTGGTTCTTCTCTCTATCTCTAGGTTTTCTCATGAGGAATCACCAAGCACCTTGGTTTGTATATTGTGATCATTTATGTTTTATATTGATTAACTTTTAACTAATAAATACAATTAATGTTTGCTCTAATTGATGATATTATAGGTGAGGGCACAACATATTTCATCCAGTTGATTCATAGGTTCATGAGTTTATTTCCATGTCTTCTCCAATAAAGCTTCATTGAGATTCAAGATTCATCATTAAAGATGCTTTAAAGTAATATCATGACAAGGTCTACTATGATTCATCATCCCTTAATTTATCAAAGAAAGAAAAAAGATGCAAGCATTGATTGAAGAAGTTTGACCTAATCGGACAAATTCATGATTCTTTGATCTCAAGTACATAACTCTCTCAATCTTTAATATTTTGAGGTGGTTATTGTTGCTATGCGTTCTTACTATCATCCACAACAACCTCTATTCACATGGCAAAAGTTATTATGCAAGAAAGTTTGTCAAAATTGAAAAGGGTTTCCAAGTCATTTTGGTGCTTGAAGAGTTAGGGTTTTGAACTTCTAAGGGATATATCTTGCTCATATTTTTAGATTTTTGAGTAATTCCAAAGGAATGCTTCTCTTTAAATTGTTATCAACTAATCACTTCAAGAGTTTCAAGAAAATTTGGTGTGGAAGATGCCCAATGATGAAGAAATATTACAAGTCTTCTAGATAGGCCATCAAATTTCCTTATATGATTTCAAAAGATCATAACTTGGTCAATTTTTATCTCCTTGAGCCCATTAATTTTCCATAATGATCTTAAGGATGTTAGGATTAACTCTTCTTTTATGTGAAAAGCTTGAAAATAAGTGGAAGATGCCCTAAGAATCCAAAATATTATGGTCACCTCATGAATTTTTACCAATTTCACAAGGCCATAAATTTTTCAATACTTGATATTTTTGAGTGATTCAAGTTTCACAATGCTCTTTTGGAAGTCTACTTAAATCTAGCATCATTGATCAAAGCTCAATTTTGGAGGAAGACCTTGTTTAGAATCAAAACATTATAGGTCACATTTGAAGAAAAAACTTAGAATTTTTCTAAGTACAAAAAGTCAACATCTTTTTCTCAACTTTGACTCATCACAACTTCTGGATCAAGCGTCCATTTGATCTTATTCTTGGAACATTACAAAGATTGTGATGTTATCTTTTAAAAGCTTCAAGAATCATACCCTAAGACCCCTTGAGCTATGAACACCATATATTCAAAGATGGTACCTTGAAACTGAAATTTTCTCCAAAGTCAGACTTTGAAATTCATAATGTGCCTTCTAAACAACAAATTAGCACGCGGTTTTTATTTAAACATGCTTAACCAAGTTCCTAAAGTTTAATTAAGAATTAAAATGCAAGAACTAACTGAGTTTTAAACAAAATCAAGTCACACTTTTCTCATTTTCGAGCTTCCTTTATTTTCCCTCCAAAATTCACTTTTGCTTCTAATTATTTTCACCATTCACTCTCCTATAAATAGAGAGACATATTGCATTCATTATATCAAGATTGAACAACCGGAATCACCCTGTCAAACTCTCTCCTTAACCCACTTTTCTGCAACGTCGAATTTGGTTTTCCAACCTTCCTCAATCCATTTTTTTTTATCAATTCTTCATCCTTGAACTTCACTAAAGCTAACAGAAGAAGAACCAAGCCCTAAAGCATCCTAAGTCCTGCTAGCCAAGTCAAGTTTCAGAGCTCTGAATTTGAACTTCAAAAGGTAGATTCCTTCATTAATTCTCTCAAAATGTGTTACTACAATGAAGCTCTCATCATTTTGATACTAGTCGCAATATTTGTTTTCAACTTTAAGTGAGTTTTGGCCATGAATTTTCAAATCCCTATTCAAATTTTTTCTTCTGGTTTTTTGCAAATCGACTAAGCTACACCTTAA